CTCACTGGCAAAAAGTAGCTCCTGGCCAGAGCTGCACTGAGCCCTCTGGCCCCATCGCTGACCTCCAAAGCCCCCAAATAACCTGGGTAGAGGAGAAGTCCATGTCCCAGCCACTGTAGACAACGGCCCCACTGCCTCCTCCTCATCCAGTGGCCATGGCAATGAAGAATGGCCCGAAGCCTTCCCAAAGCTTTCCAGGAAGGCAGTGGATAAGGGATGACAAAAACCTGGGTGGGCAGCGCCTGGCACCAGCTCCTCAGGCAACCTGACCCAGTTGAAGATGTTGGGGTTGGACTGGATGAGCCTTGAAAGTCCCTTCCAACCCGTTCTGCGGTTCTACAACAGCTCCTCCAAAAAGAGGGTACGTGGGGAGCTCTCAGGGGCTCGTGTCCTCTATGGCCAACCCACCTCAAATCACACCGAGACCCCAACAGCCGCTGTGTTCTTGCAGCAGGGAGGGGCAAGGTGAGGGAAGGAGGACCCTGTCCTCACCCCTGTGCCATACACAGGGGTCCAAGCCAGATGGGACCCATAGGGGACCCCACTCTGGAGGCAGGCTCTGCTCCAGCCATGCTGGGATGGGATGGACCTGCCTCCTCCTGCGGTCCCCAGGGAGGGATGCAGATTGCTTCTCCCCCAGCTGAGTATTGACTGCGGTCAGGCCCGCAGCTCAGGGCTCGCTAATGAATTGTAATTGGGAAGAAGTTCCACTTGGCCATGGTTTATTTCAGTTATGTGGGGATTTGCCATGCATTAAGCTGGAGGCTCATTCCATTAGCGAGGCAGACGCTTCTCTGTGCAGCCTTGAGCCCTCTGCTTGCCCATCCACCCTTCCCAGGGGGTTCTGCCCTTCCAAAGCTGCCCCTGCCTGTGTTAAGGGTGAGCACATGGTGGGACCCCAGCCTGGGGCTCATTTGACCTTCCAGAGCCTTCTGTGCCTGGCTCACCACGGCGGATCCATCTCGCCCCGCTTCACCTCACGTCTGCTGGCAGCCGCAGTGCCCTCTGGCCTCCAGACAGTCTCCGGGTCCAGACAGGACCTGAATTTATAACACTGGGAAAGGCAAAGGGAACACAGAGAAAATCTCTCCCTCCCCAGCTGCTGCCTCCCTGCATTGCCCTGCCCCGCTCCTGCTTCCAGGCAGGCGTCCAGGCTGGCCTGTGCTTGCCCCAGGAGCTTCATCCATCCCTGTTTCTGCTCCCTTCTCCATGCCTCCACCCAGCTTCCTGCCATGCATTCACCTTACCTCTGAGCACAGCAGAGTCTTGACGCTATCCACAGGCTCAAAGAGACCACGGCTCGCGTTCAGAAACGGGCAGTGTCTGAAGCAGCACAAGCACACGGAGATGCCACCGGGACCCGTGCTGCAAGGAGAGGTCTCCAAGAGCGCAGCTGCTGAGCAGGGAAGAGTCAAAGGAAGGGTTTGCCGCTGGGGGAAAGCGAGTTCAGCGACACGAGCACCAGCGAGGGGCACGAGATGGGTTTTCTCTCAAGGTCTGCTAATGAACGGATGTGAAAGCGCATCAGCTCCCTGAACGGGGCCATGAGATGGGCTGAGCAGGAGATGAGGTGACGAACACAAGCCCTGGTTACCTGCCTTCGGAAGGGAGAACACCATGCTCCTAGAAAGAAAGTGCTCATAACGGACATGAGATTAAAGACCTGATTCCAGACGGCTCGTGGAGCCTCACCCGCAAGGCAACACCATAACGCAGAGCAAGAGCCCTCCCTCCGTGGGGAATAACGAGGGGAATTACAGAGTTAAGCAGAGAAGGAGTCATGTGAAGCTGAGCCACACAAGTCTGGGCGGTCAGTACAAGGCACTGAACCAGGACTGCAAAAGCAGGGTTGGGAGGAGAAACCCAAATGAGACTATGAAGGCAAACGGAATAACACTGCAGGAATCAAAGAGCGCATGAAGTGGGGAAGCAACTTGGATGTAAGAAGTGCCCTGCCTCTTCACCAGCCCGGGTAGATTTCCAGTGAGCATCTATAGAGCATCCATACCCTGCTGGTCCTGAGAACAGATGGTACATACAAAGAAATCAATCAGAGAGGGTTTAATACACCTGTAAAACACGCAGAGAGGCACGGCAGCAGCAGGACCTCGCAAGATTTAGTAGCTGGAGTTGGTGGAGAGCTGTCTGTGCTCGGGGGCAATCACACTGAATCAAAACGAAATCATTCTCACAAAATCAGACCAATTCCTCTCATTAGGTTCGCTGCTCGAGTTAATGGCCTGTCTGATGTTAGGATATGAAAGCTGGGGAGAAAATACAGCCACATGGAGCTCTTCCAACTAAGCCTTAACTAATATCCTGGGATCCTGTGCATAGATGAATTAGATGGGAAGATGAAATAAAGCCTTGGGAAAGTAAAAGCTGTTCCGAGGCTGGTCTACTTGAAAGAGGCAATACAGGAAAAGGCAAAGCATGACAAAGTGCAGAAGCAATAGTGCTCATGGGCTGATCCCTGCCAGGGGGCTGGCAAAGAATTCCCTATGGGAAAAAAAAAACCCAAATTGTCTTCTGATGGTGGGAAGGGATCCCCGGTGGCTGCATCCTCAGAGGGACCCGGGTTCCCTCTGTGACTGGGATGCGGGAGGCAAGGCTGCCCTGCAGCAGTTGTGGGGGGAGGTTGGGAGCAGAGCATCATCCATCACTGCCACGTCTTTCCTGCTCATTAGCATGGAAACGAGCTGCTCCCGAGCACAGCCGGGGCTTCCCCCTGCAGCAGGTCACAACCCTCCTTTGCTTGGAACTCCAGGATGCTGGAAGCCCCCAACGCCTTCAGCACTCTGTGTGCCCAAGGAGCATCGTCAGCTTTACCCATCCCGGTAAAGGGAAACAGCTCCAGCTGGAGATCCTGCCCCGGGGAGGAAGGAAACACCAGTGTCATAAAAAGGCTGGGGGTGGTTTCCTTGGGATGTATGGAGCTGAGAGCGATGTGCGTGGGGCTGGCCCTGGAGGCCTGCCACATCCAGCCCCCAGGCCCAGCACCTTCTGGAGAGGGCTGGGATGCAGGGGAGGGCTTTGGCAGGAGGAGCTGCCCTGGATGGCTTTCCCCAGGGATCAGCATCACTTGCAGGTGAGCTGAGGAGGCAGCAACCCAAGGAAGGGCTCAGGTGAGGAGCTGGGAGGTTGGACGCTTCCACAGCCAGCGCATCCCACATCAGCCCCCGATGCCGTTTACCCACCCTGCACGTGGTGCTTGGCTCCATTTACCCCACTGAGGGAGTCAGAGGGAACCAGGAAAGCCCCCGACATCCCTGCTATCAGCAGGCCGAGAGCTCCGTGCCTTGAGCCACACTGCAAAGCAGCAGAGCCAGAGAGAGATTCCCTTTTATTTATAAAGCAGGCCATGTTATTAATACCACATAATGACTGTATTGCTGTACCCAGCACTGTAAATACACACACACATCCCAGAGCCAGGCACATTCCCTGCTGCAAATTGCCCACAATTAGCAATCGACTGTGTCTATAATCATGGGGACTGTGATTTGCTCTTCCAGCCCGGGAGCCTGGCAGGAGGATGAGTGGCTCTGCTAACTGGAGTTTGGTGCAGGAGGGAATTGCCCTCAAGGCCAAGACTTCCCCTTCAAGTGACACGAGACCTGATCTGTCACCGGGCAGCCCCGTTCTGGCCCCAGGTGATGCTGCCTCAGACTTCTCTGCACACACTGCATTTGTCACCACAGCGCTGGTGCTCCCTCTGCCCATTAACGGATCCGTGTCATTGCTTGGGGCTGGTCCCCATCCATCTCCTGCTGCTACAAGGCAGAGCACACCCTGTTCACATGAGCACGCAGCAGGACACACCATGTCCTGGCCAATGCTCCGTGGTGCCTGGCTGTGGTAGACACCGAGCTGTTGCCAGGGGTGAAAGGGGTGATGCCACCAATGCAGCTTCAAACCGTCCTGAAGACAGGAAGGAGGTGAGGGCAAGGCACTGATACCATAGCCAGCAGCAGCCTGCTCAGGAGCACCCACCCCGTAGAGCTCCCCAGGATGTACCAGCTTCAAAGCCAGCATCCTCCACAGTGGCTTTGGTCTCTCCTTTTCTAACCAGCGCCCAAACATCTACAACAGAACCACAGAGTGGGTTGGAAGGGACCTTAAAGCCCATCCAGTTCCAGTGCCTGCCACAGGCAGGGACACCTTCTACTAGAGCAGGTCACCCAAGAGCTCAGCTGTAGATACCCACAGGAGGAACCACGAACTCACTGGATACTCGAGGTCAGCTGCAGCAGGATGGGGATGCTCTTCCTGGGATGCAGGGCTGGGGCACACTGCTCCATCCGAGCATCCCCAACAACCGCTGCTGCCACACTTGGGCCAAGGCTGCTCTTTCACTTGCAGGTCCATACCCAGAGGTCCCTGCAGCAGACCCATGGGGTCAGGGATGCTGGGGGTCCGGAAGGTGCCCTGTGCCAGAGTTGCTGGTGGGGCTGGGGCCGTGGGGAAGGGCAGCTCCTGGCACAGGTTGGCTGTTTGGTGTCTCCCCAGCATAATGCTGGGGCTCCCCATGTTCTGGCCCTACCCCACAGCCTCCTTGGAGCCAGCACAGATGAGTTCCTAGAGGACTCATGGGCACAGCCCCACGCTGAAGGCAGCACCAGGACCCTGGGATAAGGACCTTGAGGCCAGGGTGGGGATGGACGCTCGCAACAGGACAGGCTGCAAGGCCTCATCCTGAACAGCTCCAGCTCCCTGCACAGCAACAGAACCCCACAGCACCCCGAGAATGCCAGGGGGGGAGCTGCAGCCCAGGCACGGACTCTCCCCACCCTTCTCCATCTGCACCTTGGGCAGCCCCAAGACCAAGAAGGAGCAAAGAGAGAAGGACCAAAATAAATCACTGCAGCAGCCAGGAAGTGCCTGGAGAATTCCTCCCTCTTTATTGCCCATTTCCCATGGGAGCTCCACAACCTGGGCCAGGAACAGCCCCTGCGGGAAGCGGCCTCGCCTCTCCAGTCTGCTCGAGAGGAGGAGGAACCCAAGAGAACAGACGGAGCCCGAAACCCAACCGTGAAGGAGCCTCAGCGCCGGAGGACGAGCTCTCCGCTCCCGAAGCCCTTGGTGCCATCGGAGCCGTGGCGCAGGCGCAGCAGCACATCCCGCAGGCCGAGGCGGTCGCTCAGCATCCCCTGGGCTGGTGGGGCAGAGCCAGGACAGGGTTTGGCATCGGGAGCGGGGCTGCTGTGCCAGGGGCTCCATCCGCAGCGGCGCTCGGGGCTGCAGCAGGGGCCGGAGCAGCTCTTGGGGTCCCAGCTGAGCGGGGGGAAGACTTTGCTGCCGAGGAGAGAGCCAGTGATGCTGTTGCTGAAGTTGCTGAGCTTCAAGTTGCCATCAAATGAGGTGGGTGCGGAGGGGTCCCTGCTCTGGAGGAGGGGTGGCGAGACCCTGGCACCATCTGACCCTAGAGAGCTGCAGAGCCCGGAGTCCCCGAGGCTACGGGGGAACACGGAAGCTGCCGCCTGCAGCCTCCATCCCATCTGGTCCAGCTCCTCCGCCTTCCTCTCAGCACCAGGTTTCTTCTTGGAGTCCCTCATCCAGAGCCGGACCACTTTGATGCGCTCCCTGCCCCGGCAGCTCCTGCTGCTGAGGTCCTCAAAGGCCCTGCAGGCGCTCTCCAGGCTCTCGTACTCCACCGTGGCGCAGCACTTGCTCAGCAGCTCCGGGAAGCGGGATGCGTATTTCTGCACATCCGAGGGCAGTTTGCAGCCTGGACGCAGGATGCGGATGGCGGCGATGGCTCCAAAGGGGCTGAACAACCTTGTGATGGTGTCCAGGAAGCAGTTCTGGCGCAGCAGAGGCACGTCCTGCTCCTGGGGCTGCAGCTCCCAGGCCAGCAGCAGTTTGCTGGGAGGCACGGTCAGGAGGGACTCGGGGATGGGGATCTTCCTCCTCACTTTGGTCCCCTCCTTGTTCACCTCCAGCAGCCTGGAGAACTGCAGGGCATAGAGCGTGAGCCGCCAGTCACGCGTCAGGTATCTCACCTATGGGACAGAGGGGGACACGGCATCCCCATGAGTCTAAATCCCCCTAACCCCACCCTCCAGGCAGGCTTCAACCCCACCAACTTGAAGTCACAGCAAGACAATATCCCCCTCTCACAGGAGCACCTTCAGGCCTGCAGGGGAAGGTCTCCAGTGCCCCCTTGGCTCCCCACACATCACAGCACCAGCACTTCCCTGCAGGGTTTTGGCTCTGGGATGGCCTTTCCCAAAGCAGCCCAGAGGAACCACGGGCAGAGGAGGTGAATGAGCCCCCGGGGTGGTTGGAGGACTGCTGCAGCACATCAAAGGCAAAGAGCAGAGCCTGGCCCTGCACCACCAGCACTTCCCCAGGACGCAGAGCCTGAACCTCCCCATACACCCCAGCAGAGACCCCCAGAGCACACCCAGACACCATCCCACCGGGGCTGCCCACCTTCTTGAAGGACGTCAGGAGCTTGATGCTGACAAAGCCCATCTTGTTCTTCTGGACGTGTTTCAGGAGGAAAGCGTCCTTGGCCAGGTTCTCATCAGAGAAGTAGAACTCCACCTGGGACACGATCCTCTGGATCAGCTGCTGGTCGGGGATGGAGTGGGTGCAGTCCAGCAGATTGGCCCCTGAAGCATCACTCACATTGCAGAAGGTCCTGGCAGGGCAGCAGGGGCACAGGGATGAGCTGGTGGCCTTTGGGATGTGCAACAGTACCCAGTCACAGCCACAATGGTGCAGACAGCAGAGACCCAGAGCTTTGCCCCACCTATGGGGGAGTGATGCCAGCCCGCACTCTGTGAGCACCAGTGCTCGACAGTGAGCCCAAGCCCATTCCAGACATATTCCCTTGGGGATAAACATAATGCTCAGCCCCCCCCCCCCCCCCCATCCCAGCAGCCACATACCCACTGAAGCTCTCAAAGAAGTCCTCCTGCCTGAGGAGCTCGAGTGAGCAGCTCTGTTGTGGACGAAGATGCTGTGTTGGGACGGGATTCCTCAGTCCTGGCATTGGGGTGCTGCAGCTGGGCTGGGAACAGGGCCCTAAGGCCACCCCAGAGCTGTACGATGAGATCATCCTTCGTCTGGAACCTTACACAGGAGAAGAGGAACACCAGGCTGCTTCCCAACCACAACCAGCCCAGGGATGGGGGAGCAGAGGGAGCTTGTGGCTGTGCCCTTACCTGCTTGGCAGTACTGGGAAGGGTAGAAAGTCCGGGCACTACATCCTAGAGACCTGCAGGCAGAGACCCCAAACCCTCCCCACCTCCGAACAAAGGCTCCTGAAAGAGGAAAGAAAGGAAAAGAAAGGAAGAAAAAGCCCTTAGAGCCCCCAGGCTGCTGGTTTATAAGAGCAGCCACCCTGAGGGAGCCCCAGTGATGGGTTATGGACCCACCAGGCCCCAGGTGAAACCTCTCTGCAGGTTAAACAGCCCCAGCTGAGCCCTGGGGGCAGCCCCTGCATCCACTGCTGAGCCAGGCCAGGCAGCAGAGCAGCACGGAGGCACCAGTAGCAGCACTGGTACCAGTACCGGCACCCCGTGGTACCCAGCGGGGCAGTGAACTGCTGCCGTGAGGCAGCTCTTTCTGTGCCTCGGTTTCTCTTTCTTCTGCAGGGACAGCTGCAGGCACAGGGAGGTGCAGGGAGGGCTCATTCAGCCCAGGGCATCGCTTGGGTTCTTGGTGCTGCCGGGGTGATGGCAAAGTCCTTCTTCCTGCAGAAATCCCCCCAGTCCCAGGGGAGGGAGCAGGAGAGCCCCAGGGGTGAAGCCCAGGGTGCCCTGGGAGGGGGTGATGCTGTCGGGCAGGACAGCCCATAGCTTCAGTTGAAGATCCTTCTAGTTGAAAACCTCCCTGCTCAATGCAGGGATGAGCTCTGAAGCTCCCTCCCAACCCAAACTGCTGTATGATCCCATGACTCAGTACGAGGTGGGGAAGGGTTGGGATGAAACTCATCCCTTTGCTTGAGTCCTCGCTGGGACCAGCGGGAGGGCACCACAGTGGGGGGCCCATCACACATCCACCCTGAGCACTGTCGGGTGCATCCCTGGCAGCATCCCTGGCAGCATCCCTCCCTCCCTCCCTCCCTCCCTCCCAGGGGCAGCCTGGTCCCCTGCCCCAATGCCTTGCCCCAGCCATGTGGGGCTCCTGCTGCTGCACCCCCTAGCTGTGCCACACTGCCCTGCTTGAAGCTCATCCTTCCAAGGACTGGCAATGCCAAACGGCCTCTGGGATGTTGCAAGCCCCTGGTTTCCCTGGGGTTGGCACAATTGGTGTGTGTCCCCCATCAGCACCACTTCAAACTTCCCTGTCATGACCTGGCTTTCTGTGTGGTGGTGATGCTGAGTGCAAGAGACAGTCCTGGGATGCAGGAGGTGGCACAGGAACTGGCAACAGCCACTGGAAGGTGGTGGCACTGGGTGGTGGGTGACAAGGAATAGGTGGTGGGAAGCAGAGGGTGTCCTCCTCCCTGCAGCCACCAGGTCCCTGGCCAGAATTGCTTTGTTCAGACCACACTGGGCAGATCCTGCATCTCCCCTCAACGCTGCAAGGCTGCATCACCTCCCTGACACCTCCTTTCAACGACTAAAGAAGAAATGGCACCACAACATTTATTGTACAGGCCTGAGCATTTGATATATGTTTATTGCTATTCAGGTTTAGCTGGGAATTTGGTGCAGATGGGGTTTAGGTGTTATCCAGACTCCTTGCACAGTGCTGCAGAGCTCCAGAGCATCCCCTTTGCCCGTCCATGGGAAGCAGACAGTGGCTGAGGTCGGTCGGTAGCGGCTGCAAAGAGCCAATGCACCAGCACTGGTTCAGGCCACACTGGGTGGGAGCAGGGGAGTTTGAGACCTGGTTGCTCAGTTGGTGTTTTAGACCCTTGTATCAGCAGGATCTGAAGTGCAGCCTCTGACCCAGGGAGTTATTTACAGCCAAATCCAGCTTTCTCACTTGTCTCCCGCTCCTTTGATACGAGACATTTACAGACAAACATCACCCTGACAGACAACAGCACGGGACAGTGGGAGGGAAAGATGTGCCACTAAACACACGCTCTTTTTACTTTCCATTAGCACTAGTTTTCCAAGTGTCACAGCTACCTTAGTACCATTGGGAGTGAGTAAGTAATATGTTTGGATAGAATATACTCTGATATGCAGATGTACACGAGACCCCTGGAAAAGCTCACATCAAATACTGCATCATTAGAAATAATAATAATAATAAAAGCTATTTATGACACAGCCTTTATTCACAGACAGATCTGCCCCGGGGAGGGGGGGGGGTGGTTGTTTTTGCTGTTTGACTGGATGGCAGATTCCACCCCCTTCCTCTGCCCTGTGTAATCCACATCAGCCCAGACCTCACAGGGCATGGAAAGGGAGAATAAAACCCTGCTGGGGCAGAAGCTCCCCCAGCTCAGCCCCATTGGAGCCACCACCACAATGCTGCAGCAGCCATACAGCCCAGGGGAATGCTGGTGGAGTGATGAGCACAGTCGGGGCTGTGCCAGCCCCTCGCTGCTCCGTGGGATGGGCTCAGCCAGCACAGGGGGAAACGGGCCTGCCAGCCCAGCCTAAGGCACTGCAGTCACACACCCTCACCCCATCCACACGCAGCCCTACAGGCAGCTGCACCCACCTTCAACACCTTAGCAGGACATCAATGAGTCTGACAAAGCCCAGGACGTGGGAGCAGTTCCCTTCTGCCTGGGGACCCTGGGGAGGATGGGGATTGCCCACAGGCATCAGAGCCCAGGGGGCAATGGACATGCTTTGCAACCAGCTGCTGCTTCCTCAGTCCTTTGGTATCTTGAGTTGGCCTGACAGTGGCCCAGGAGCATTTGCAGATCAGCAATGAAACGCTGAGCTGGGAAGACATGGGAGCAGCTGGGAATCCTGTCCCAGAGCATGTGTGCGTCAATCCCAGAGCATGTGTGTGTCAATCCCAGAGCACACATGTGCACCACTCCGCCGGGACCAGATGGATGTGCAGCCTGGAGCCCTCTGCCCAGGTGGGTACAAGAGGGATGTACTGTCCTGCACTCCCTGGTGCAAACGATTTGGCAAAGTCAGAGCCAGGACTTGTCTTGAAAGGCTGGAGGAGAAGGGTCAGGCATTTTCCTTTCTTCTTGGGCACTGAGTGGTTCAAGTCTGTATCACAGTGAAGTCTGACAAGTGGGGAAGAAACCCAAACCACCTTCCCTGAAAGAGGAAGCCTCATTTGCCTGCCTGGCTCAGGCTGGAGAGGAGAGGCTCACCCAGCCAGGCACATGGGATCCACTGCTGACCACGGGGCTTCCATCGCTCGGTAGCAGACTTTGGACCATCACCCTCCAGCCAACAGTGATGCCGGAGGAAAGCAGGCGGCCAAACCAGCTCCGTCCTGGGCTCACCCCGCAGCCCTCCTCAAACACAAGTAAACATAAAGAGAAACTAAGAGGCACTAATAACGCAGACACAGGAGACTCAGGCTTGCGAGCACCAAACCTGGCTCCGGACGTCTTCCCCCAGCTGGAGAAAAGCCGAGTCCCCGTTTCAGATCTCCTGCAGGGAGTAGCCAGGGTCGCTGCGCTCCCGCTTCACCAGCGGCTCCCCCATGCTCCGGGAGTCGGTGTCCACCTCGCTGCCCAGGTCACCAACGTCATCTGCAAAGGACAGGGCTCAGCATGAGGTTGGCACTCCGAGGGGAAGAGGTTCTTCTTCCCGAGAGAGCAGGGTGGAAGAGCCTGCACCAGCCTCCCCCTCCCACAGCAACTCAGCCCCGGGTAGCAGGACTTCCCCTGAGGGACAGGAGGTACCTTTGTCCAGCAGCGTTGGGGACAGGGATGTGAGGTCACCAAACTGAAAGGAAAAGGAGGTGCAAGGTAAGTGAGGCTCGCTGGAGACCCAAGGCACCAGACCTGCAGGCTGGCCCCTATGCCCAAGCAATTCCAACGAGCAGCTGGAGCGCTCAGGAGAAGCCACAACCAGCAGCAGTGGTGAAGAACAGCAAAACCAACCACGTGTGCTGGGGAAAAGCCTGTAGCTACCATTTAAACCTCGGGGCAAACACCCCCCCCCCAACAACCCAGGGCAGGGCTGAGCTCTGGAATGAAGGAAGGAATTGTTCCATCTCCCGAGTCACATGCGAGTGATGGTGCCTTTTCTCCAGCCCTCTCCATCTGTTGGCCAACTGCTCACCCAAACCATCCCAGCTCGTCACCACTCCTGGGGCTCTACCATCACTTCACCTCTCTACAACTCTCTGTGAAGCCTTTCCATTCATGTCAGGAGAGTGCTCTGGCTTGCCAGGCCATTGTCCAACGAGAGCTGGGGATATATTGGCTCTGAAGATGCGCTGTCTCCCTCTGAAACACTAAATTGCTCTGACAATAACGCTGAAAGGTCCTGCAAAGTAGGGCAGCAGAAGGAACTGAGGAGCGCAGGGGCTCTAAAGGGAGCAATGGAAACGGAAGGATGAGATCCATTCTCTTTCGGTGGGAAGACTCAGCCCCCTCCTGGAGAATAGGAATAGTGCAAGAGTTTAACAAAGGCAAGGCAAAGAGTGCAGGATGAAAGATTCCCACAGGCAGCTTTTCCTGGGAGCCACTCTCTGCCTTTCACGTTCCTTTAGTATCAGTAAAGAGAGGGCTTTTGTTGGGAAGAGTGGGACCTCGCAGCACTGCTGACCTGGTGCAACAGCGTGGCTCTAATAGGAGGGGAAGGGGAAGCAAAAGGCACACACAGCTCATCTGTGTGGCTCACAGGAGCTCCATGGAAGGAAGAAAACAGCTGAAATGGGCTGAAAGTTGCAGGGAAGGTTACTTCTGGACCTTTCTTTGCTTGGTTTAGCTCTTGTGTTTGCTCTGGCAGCAACCCCAAAGTCGGGGTTGGTACCCCCAGGTTATGGAGAGAGGTGGGGAGATCCTTTTCCTCCAAAACCCAGCTGATGCTCAACTGCCCCAAACCCCCTCACAGCTCAGGTATTAGCCAGCCAGGATGAAGGATGCTCAAGGAGCTGAAGCCTTGTGCCAGGCACTCCAAACAAGTCGGTAAATCATTCAGCAAAGCTGGTTCTAAGAACGTGGTGAGGACACAGTGTGGTTTGTGAAGCAACCGCTTCTCTTTGAGCGCTGGTAAATTTGGGTCTGTTTCTAGGGAATAAACAATTCTCACCTCTCCCATGACGGCAATTGGCATCTCCCCCGTTGCCTGGGCAACACGATGCTCTACCAGATAAAACATGTACTCATCATAGAGCAGGCGAATGAGGTGGAAGGAGCCAAAGCTGGCAGCACTGCGCAGGGTGAGGTCCCGGATCACCATGGAGCTGGAAAAGGGCCACGAAACAAAATATTTGGGTTGTGGTTTACTCTTGCATCACAGCTGATGTGAGTTCTTGACCCTGACAATGCTCTGTTTCTACCTCTAGCCCAAGAGTAGCAAAGCACTTTATAAGAACTGAGTTGATGGAGCATCCTAGCCCCATCCTGAAAGGATACAGGAGGTAGAACTGTACCCTTCTGTACCAGGGCAGAGCAACAGTTAACCAGAGTTGCATGGAAGTAAAGAAATTGGCCTTGGCTTTTCAAGGAGCTGCTGACATGCCCTAAGCCCCATGCAGGAATGTCTCCAAAATGAGAAAGGAAACGTACCTATAGAAAGACCATTTCAACAGGAACTGCCTGGCTGCCTTGGGGAAGCTGGGACTGCCCTCATGGTGCTTCAGGACTTGAGTAACAACGTTATCCAGCCAACTTGCCCACTGGTCCAGAGAGCTCTGCTGCTGCAGGGTGAGCTTGAAATCCTGCTCCAGCTTCTGTACCATGCCTTCCTTGCACTGGCACACCCATGACGCTTGCTCCTGCTCAGAAAGAAGAGTTGAGCCACTCATGCCAAGCCTGAATGGTTGCTGCACCCCATCCCAGGAATTCAACTTCATTTCTTAGCAGACAAGAACTGTGCACGAGTTCGGAACCCTGTCTCCTCCGATTCATCCAGACTACAGCACAATATTACTGTTAGAACTACATAATGGTTGGTACCACCACTTCTTACAGAAATCCCTTAATGCCTGCTCCCCTCTTCACAGCGCAGTGGCAAACTTACCTGGAAAAGTAACATTAAACCATGAAATCGGTCATTTAATTGCTTTTTAGTATTGGAAAGATGCTGGCTACCAGCAGGGAACCTCCTTAGAGTCCCAGTCCTAGACAGTATGACACAGGCAAAGGCACCACACCTTACCTGCACGTTGGCAAAGTCGACCCGGTTGAGGTCACTGAGCATCTGGTTTATCTGCGAGGTGTTCTGCAGCACAGCCCGGGCAGCCTGGGCCAGGTGGTTCAGGGACGTGTATCTCCGTAAGGTCTGCGCGAAGGCACTCACCACCCCGACCTGCAGCACAGCCACAGGGCTCCGTGAGGAGGAGGGCTCTGTGCTCAGCTCAGGCACGCAGCGCACAGCAGCTGGGGTACCCTGCATAGCCCCACTTGTGCTGCTGTCCCAAGCATGCCCGAGCTCTTTGGCAGCATCCCGCAAACCGGCCTCTGTGCTTCTTTAAGCTAACGGGTTTTCACACTCTGCCTCCAGCAGAGACCAGCAAGGTGAGAAGAGGCTACAGGAATACATGGCTTTAAGGAGAGGGGAAGTAGGAGCCTTGGGTTCAAGTCTCTGCAATGCCATTCAGTCCATGAGGTGTCCTGTGGTTTTTAGCAGGACAAACCTCATTCCAGAGCAGGGATTTTCTTCCACAGAGCCTTTATCTTAGGATAAAGGAATGGTTCAATGGACAGAGCATCATCACCTGCTGGTACAAAGGAATTTCCCTACATGTCATAGAATGGTTTGGGTGGGAAGGGACCTTAAAGCTCACCCAGTTCCAACCCCTGCCATGGGCAGGGACACCTTCCACTGGAGCAGCTTGCTCCAAGCCCCTGTGTCCAACCTGGCCTTGAACACTGCCAGGGATGAGGCATAATTATTTTGGTTCATAACCATCCATTACACCGTGTTAACCTGGAGCACACATGGCCAAACCCAAGCAGTGATTTCCAGTCACTGGAAAACTGCAACACACAGACACTCAGCTCCTATCTCTGACCTGTATCATGCTCCTTCTGCTTACCTTGGTCTGCACAATCTCGGGGGGGAAATCACTCATGGCATTCATCAGCCACCCTTCCAAACTCTTGGCAAAATTACGGATCGCCTGGGTGAGTGTGCCTGCAAAGGAAACTGCACAGTTAGAAAGGATGCTCCACAGCATCTCTGGACACCACTTTCTACCTTAGGACTGCCGGGGAAAGCACAGCCTCTAATCTGGTTAGCTGTGATCTCCATTAGCACCAAGGAAATCAGATGAGTCCTGGATGCACCCAAAGTTTTCTTATTCTCTAATGTTGTTGCTCCAGCTTTACTTCTTTTCTCTTATTCTATCTCATTCTTTTCTCATTGATAGTCCTTCTGAGCATTCTGCAGATGTTGAAATCTGCTCTTTACAGACACCCATGTGCCCCAGCACACAGACTGGCAACAGCAGCTCAGAGGGATGTGGCTTTCCAGTACTGCCCAGCCCATCACTGATCTCCCATATGGAAGTTGACCTCAAATTCCCAGGAGGTGCAGCAGGGGACAGGACTGTCCTACCCAAAGATACTATCTCAAAGGAAGCATCTCACAAGGATTAGCTCTTGTGCATTGAGGCTATGCTTTTACCCTGACTCCAAGCCAAACTCAGGAGATGGGATATGCCATAAACCAAGTTTTAAAAGGCACGGGAATTTCCAGGGGCCGCAAAGTACCATCGACACAGAGCGATGCTGCAGGATGAGTATTGCTGTCGCCATAATATTTCAGCTTGCATTCAAAACAAACCTCTCTAAATCTGCTTTTATAATGGAAATCTTTGTGACAAGCGGTAGCCAGGCTGATGGCTGTTTGTCAGACCCAACATCCCATGATCCCGCTGCAGGATACTCACTGGGCACTGGTCTGAGCACGTCTGGGATGAGAATCTCCACCAGGGCCTGGTACAAGATGTGATCACAGCTTCTCATCCACTTGAGGATGGGCTCGTATTTGCACAGACTGATCAGCTTCTCTTTCGAGAGGGTTGCTTCATGCTCCTCACTGCGGGAGGAGGAGGAGGGAGGCAGTGTTAGCAGCAGGTTTGCGCTCAGTGTGTTCACTCTGCTTGAGTTCTAACCCATTTTCAGCAGAAGAAAAGGCAGAAGCCGTTCATGTTTTGTTCAAAAGGAAACCTCTGATTGCTTGTACAAGTCTTGTCTGACTCTGCAAGCACCTCTCTGTCCATGGGCTCTGAGCACAGTTTTCCCTCAAAGCCACATCTCCTGGTGCTTGCCCTGCCTGCCTTTGCTGCTGTCTCCATTGCCTTTCACATGCGTATGTCTTGTGTCCATGGGAATTGCACTTCAGTACAGACATTTCAGCAAGCAAAGGCTTAGCTGACTCCTCCCTACAGACCCAGCTATTTCAATCATAGAATCATAGAGCCACAGAATGGGTTGGGTTGGAAGGGACCTTAAAGCTCATCCAGTTCCAACCCCTGCCACGGGCAGGGACCCCTTCCACCGGAGCAGCTTGCTCCAAGCCCTGTGTCCAACCTGGCCTTGAGCACTGCCAGGGATGGGGCAGCCACAGCTTCTCTGGGCACCCTGTGCCAGCGCCTCAGCACCCTCACAGGGAAGAGCTTCTGCCTTATCTCCAACCTGAGCTTCCCCTGTTTCAGTCTGAACCCATCACCCCTTGTCCTATCGCTCCAGTCCCTGATGAAGGTTCCCTCTCCAGCATCCTTGTAGCCCCCTTCAGACACTGGAAGCTGCTCTGAGGTCTCCATGCAGTTTCTCTTCTCCATTTCTAAAACCTTTACACCTCTCCTCTCTGCTCTAAACCTCCTCAGCTGTAGCAGTGGCAGCAAATGTTGTTTGAGCAGCTCAGCCAGTACTGACAGCTACTACAAATGGTTTCAGTGTTTAACACCTTTGAAAGCTGAATGTTTTCAGAGGGAAAAAGAACTGATGTTTGATGAGAACAGAGTGTATTGTCTCTTGCTGAATGAGGTCAACCAAGTTGCATTATTTTCACTTTATAGATGTAGGGACACTTTTTTCGCATGATTAATGCATAAGATACTTGGTTAAACAGCAAGCAGAGAAAACCAAAGCCTTAATGCACTGCCAGCACATCAAAGAAGAGATGCTCAGATGTTATGTTGGGAGCTGGGAATTTGGAAGGGACTTTCCCCACATGTTACATTAAAAGCATGAAAGCCAAGCCTTGGACATACTATAAAGGCACTTGGAGCCTCTGCCTGAGCAGTTTTAAATGAACTCCACAGGCTAGAACAGCCCCATGCAGGAACTGGCCATCAGGTACCCGAACTTTCTGTTAAGTGGAACCATGATCTGCATTTTATTGTGCTTCCAATTTGCCACTTTGATAATATTTTGGATTTATATTTGTGTATCTGTGAAGCAGGGGGAGGGAGTGATTTACCTATAGCAGTGGTATGGAGAGGTACTAGAGCACACAGCCTTAGCAAGACAGGCTGGTTTAGACAGAGCCCTGTGGAAATGCTGCCTCCAGCATCCGAGTGAGCCTGTCTGTACCTAGCACAGCTCTCTGGGTGCTGCACTGTGCCTGGGAGATACAGCCTGAAGTAAAGGAGATTTGGAAACCATCAAACACAGCTACAGGGATTCTTTGCAGGAGCAGATCCACTGGGTAACATCTACTGAGGACAATTGTACAGATTAGCATGGGGTATTTGCTCATTACTTAAACTTTAAGGCCCATCGAGATCTGGATAGCCAGCCAATGAAGCGAGTCAGTCTCAGTGGCACTGAAACCTCAGAGCCTGAGACATCACTCCAGATGGATACCTAATGGCACAGAATCCTTACTGTCTGCTCTTAGTGACCATTCACATTCTCATCCATCCTGCATTTTGGATGAGCACGTGTTACAGGAGGTTTAAGGCACAGAGATGTACATGATCAGAGCAGATGCCTTCCTCAGGGGTCTGAACTTCGTGTGCTTGTTGTAAGAAATACTCCTGACGGCCTTTGCAATGATTCTGCTGGGAACCAAATACTTTCGAGTCCTACCAAGCACTCCAAATGCCTCACGAAGCTGAAAATACTGCAGGCATTTTTAAATGGATAAATACCACCCCAAGAAACGGAGCGCTCTGAATGAATGGAAGCGTGTACCTGGACGGCAGAGCAGTAGAGCCATCACTAGATGGTGTTTTAGGACTCCAGAAGGATTGCCACAGTTTCTCAATGTAATGAAACTGAAGATTCATGACAACATCCAAAGTCACCTAACAACAACAAAGAACAGAAGTCATTAGCCGCTCTGCCTGCATCTTGTCACGAGCATAAATCTCATGTGCTGCCATTGAGGTTAAATAATTTACAAGGAAAAGAACAGGAAATGCATGGGTTTAGCAATCAACACAGCATAAAACTTGTCACAGAATGAAAAAGGAACAGAAAGCACAATATTTAAGTTGTATTACCTAGCAAACCAAGCATTCCCTATCATATTCTGGCTTTTCCTAAGAGCAGGACATGAGATGAGCACACAAATTATTTCCCACATTGATTAATAAATCCATTTAAAACATTCCAAGTCATCACCTCGCAGTGTTGCCTGTAAAGAAGCTGCAGAGTTTTCACATCATTCATGGTCACCCCTTCTTGTAAGAGGATGCTGCCTACATCAGGGGCTGGGAACTCAGGAAAGACATGGGTTACATCTAGGGAAAAGAAAAGATTGGGAAAGATGGTGAGAGTTAGGAGCACTCAGTTACTCAGCACTCAGATGAGCACTGGGTGCTGCTGTTGTGGGTGATAATCTTTCATGTTTCAGTTGGGATGAAATAGGAGAAATAAGACTGATGATTCAGTATTCTCCCTGATTCATGTTGGTACAGGGGGCAAAAAGAGAACAAGCACAGCCCCTTCTTTCAGTGTAGAAAGGGAAATGTTTTCTTTCTCTTTGTAGTATAAGAAAGAATACACTGTCCTCTCTACCATGCTTCCCATTAGATTTTCTCACAAGCCTGCAAAATGCCTCTTTGGTATTTTGAGAGTACAATGGAACACAAAAGATGGATCAGGAGCAATTGTGTTTCAGAGCTGGCTGGGATTTGCTGTCTGCTGGAGGTGATGGAGACACACAGATCCAGACCCAGCAAAGCCAGAGAGCGCGTCTCACAAGGAGGCGGTCCACATGGATCATCTGCCCTCAGGTAGGTTATTGCAGCCATTGGAATGAAGAGTCACTCCCTGCAGCTGCCTGTCTTAGCCAGGCTCTTCAGGACCTCCACTCCTTCCATTCAATTTGGGTACAAGCAGACATTAAGAAGTCTCCTCACCTATGAACTGCTGGTGATGCTGACTTTGAGCGGCAACCGATTGCTCTGGCGTAGTGTGTGAGTTACTGTTGGAGCCACTCTCTGACATTCCATCCATCTTCTGAGCTGGTCTATACCTGAATGTAGAGCATGGTTTGGGATTCACACAGGCAGGAGCAAGCACACACGTTATTTGCAACACAGGCACGAAGACTTCTGCCTTCATCATGTAATACCTGAGCTTACATTCAAGCAGAGGAAGGGAAATGAGAACCTCCTTTTGAAAAGCCCTCCAAAGGTGGAATTAAAGGGGCTAAGAAGTTAGCCCAAGGTGACACCAAAACTAACCACAGCACCATTTAACTTGCACTTTTGCACCAAAAAAACCCCAACAACCAAACAAAACCCAAAATCTACCCAAACACAACAGAAGCCTCCAAGTCCCTTACACTGATTTGGGACAAGTAACTCCAAAGCTGAGGTCCTAAAACAGTTTGGTCACAGGGACACCATGAAAAGGGGCACATATGGTGGCATTCTCTGTAGCAGGGGGCTGCTACAAACAGCACAGGGAGATAATAGAATCATGGAATGGTTTGGGTGAGAAGGGACCTTTAAAGGCCACCTAGTGCAGACCCCCTGCAATGGGCAGGGACATCTTCCCCTACATCAGGTTGCTCACAGCCCCATCCAACCTGGCCTTGAACGCTTGCAGGGATGGAGCATCTCCCAGAATCATTGTTGGACCCTTCCATTCCTCAGTGCAGCCCGGGACTTGCAGCCCCCACTTCAGCAACACTTGGGTTTGACCTGTCCCAACAGGCTCCCTCTGCTCCCAGGCAAAGCCAAGTCCCAGGATGTGGCCTGCTGCATCCTTTGGGAAAGGACCCTTGCCTTTAGCAGTGTTGGGGCCACAGCTTGTGAGCTCCAAGCTGCTGCAGCACCTACCTTTGCTTCTGGTGGATGGGCTGCTGCCTCATTGCCATGTACTGCGTATCCTCCTGCAAACGGTTCAGCGGAGACTCCGGCTTTAGGCGGATCCCATAATAGTGATATTTGGAGTTTCCCCTGGAAGTGTTGAAATTGCTCAGTGTAAAGCAAGTTAATGGAAGGGACATCACAGCCCTGCTGTTTACTCTTCAGCTTGCTTTGACAATACACCCTGCTTCTTGTAGCACGCCTTGCTTTGCTGCCGAGCACTACGAGAACTCCTGAACCGAGGAACTAAGGGATGCCATCATCCCCTACAAAATCTCAAACCACGAGTCACAAAGTTCAGTGACAGCCACACGCAAAACCCAGGCAGGCTTCTTGCAAGGAACCCGTGGTAACCGGAGAAGAAGAGCCACGTGTTACAATACAAAGTGTTATTTAATGGAATGACAGAAAGACCTCAGGGGACGCTGCTATTTCATTAGGATTTAAGGATTTTTTTTGTCCCATCAAAATAACCTTCCATCTTTATCAAGGCTTGGAGAAAACGAGCCTGACTGAACAGCCAACTACGATAGGAAAAACGTCTTTCTGCTGCCAGCCCTTTGACAGCGACAGCAAGAGGCTTTGATGTGGCTTTGTTCTTGGAGTTGCTCATTTGGGGAGGTTTTGTGGAAACTAAAAGCTTTTTGCAAGCGAAAGAGGCTGTAATTCTTCTCCCCGGGCTGGCCAGGGAAGCTGCTGCCGTGCATCTCGGGAGAGCATCTTTCCATCACATCAGACAGATGTGTCAGCTCCAGTTTTTCCATCCAACTGGAATTTTGCACTCCCCAAGCATCTGCTTTTGGGAGGGAGAAGGGCAATTATGCAGCCATGGATACATGACGGCAGCGTGTCCAACTTGGCGTTAGCCAATCTGTCCCTAATAACAGCTGAGCTGAGTAGGAGCAGGGGAGCAGCAGGAAGGTCTCCAGAGCCCCTATTGGGGATGCTTCAAATTCATTTGCTGCGTCACCATGACATGGTCTGGAGGCACCTTAAATCCAATGATGCTTCCCATTGGAAAATCAGATAGAGAAATCTGACACAGAATTAACCCTTTCTTCCTTGCTGACTTGTCTGCTCTTTGGCACCGTACCAAAGGGGGTTGCACACACTGAGTGCTCAGGCATGAAGTACACCTTGGCCACATCTTAAGTGATTTTAAGTGCCTGCAAATTAAATGACTGCTGCATTCATCATTTCAATTAATGAATAAGCAAATCATGGCGGGCAGCTATTTCCATATTTGCTAAGGTATCCATCCCAGCCTGCAGTTTTAAGTGGGGTTTTGCTTGTTATTTTCCTTTAATCCTTGATGACATTAAAGATTTTCTCTCCTCTACAGAAATGATTTCAGATCTCTTGCACTTGAACCAATCTAAAGAAATCCAGACTCTTCTTCTGACTGCTGCCTCCACATTCCAGCTGTGGAATGCCCCGGACACATCTGGTTTTGTTCTTCTTTAGAAGCCCAAATATCTAAGCTTGAGTTTGGTTATAAAATCTTGCACAATCAGAGCAATCTGTATTTCTCCAATGTATGAGCTACTTGTATAAATTCAAAGCTGGGATAAATGCACACTCAGTTCTGCAAGCCATGCAGGTTCTTTGGATGCGCCTTGGTAGGACACATGTAACTCAGAGCAAGTATAGTTTCTTATCCTATGCTTTTGTTGTAACATCCTATGGATCTTTGATGCTTTAAAAGAAAAACCTCAGTCACAAGTTCAGCTTTGGGTATGCAAGAAACAATCCATTTCCATCTGTACAGCTTGTCTGCATCCAGAGGTGGACCCAAAGGGAGAAACCATTGCACAGCACCAGAACTTGGGGCTCTGCAGCTGATTGTCATGGGTTAAACCCAGCCAGCTACTCAGCACCATGCAGCCCCTCACTCACCCCCCCCTTCCCTTCCCCAGGTGGGATGGGGAGGAGAATGGAGAGAATGTAAACCCCATGGGTTGGGATAAAAAGTTTAATAACTAAAGCAAAATATACTGTTACTGCTACTAATGGTAAGGGAAATAATGGGGGAGAGAATATAAAACTAAAAGGGGAAAGGAAAACTAAACAAGAAATGTAAGTGATGCCCAGTACAGCTGGAATAGCCCTTTGGCTAGTTCAGCTGTCCTGTCCCTGCTTCCTCCCAGTTTCCCATGCCCCTCCTCACTGGCAGAGCATGAGACTGAAAAGTCCTTGATCAGGGTTAAGTGCTGCTGAGCACCAGCGAAACCATCCCTGTGTTATCAACGTTGTTCTCAGGCTAAAGCCAAAACACAGCACTGCACCAGCTGCTAGGAAGAAAATTAACCCTATCCCAGCTGAGCTACTTCATCTTGTTGAGACAGTAAGGGAATGAGAAGGCAGCCTAGGTTCAAATAACACATTCTTTCAACTCCTTAGGATAGGGACTTAGACCAAATTCCACTGGGTGGCTGGACAAGGCACTGTCACCGGAGACCTGGAGTGTGTCTGCCATTCACTGTATTGCCAAGCCTCTCACACTGCTGATTCCTGGTGAGGAAGCAGCTTTGCCTCACAGGAAATCACTGCCATGCCTCACAATAGCAGCTTTTTTCCCTACAAGACAATGGTTGGTTGTTTCTGTAGATCTCAGAAGACCTATGCCTGCTCAGTGATGCTTGGCAGGTCCTCAATCTGCATGAGAGGTGGTGTGGGAGGGTTGAGGTTTGTATTTAATGTGGATTCGTACCAACCTGGTTCCCAGGCGACGGGTCCTCAGCCCCATGAACACTGAGCGGATGAGCTTCCCAAAGGAAGCAGCGTTCACCGGATCCAGTTTGTGCTCCTGGCAGTGCCTCAGGTAATGGTTGTAGAGGGAGCTCCTGGGAAGGCTGACGCCTTCCGCTGTCTCGTAGTTGTCCAACAACCACTGGAGCTTTATGTGTGGGAAACATAAAGAAAGAACACATGAAAGTCTAAAGAGAGCTGGAACGGGCCTCGTCAAACAGTGGCGATGCCTAAATGTCAGGACAGCCCATCTGCCCTTTCGAGAGAGCTTCATGCTGGGCACCTCGTTTCTCTAAGTTCATTTGTATAACTGATATGCCAGTTGCATTTTGACAAAGGACCCCCAGCCCAAAGCTCATCACCCAAACAGGCTTTGCAAGAGCATCACAACCCAGTCCACCTGCCAGCAAAGTGTCCACCTTGGCTTCAGATGGATTCCTGCAGAGCCAAAATCAAGCTGTAAAACCTCCTGTTTTACATGAATAATGATGTTAAGACACTGCCTCGGAGGAATAAAGGAACCAAATATGCTGCAAAGTCTTTATCAGTGTGAAGACTGGCATGCCTCTGCAAGTGTTCCCTTACCAATAACATCAACAGTTACCAAAGCAAGCTCCAACACCTGAGGGGGTCCATCCAGTTTTCAGAATTCACTGTCTGAACTTCTCCTGACAGTTGTGCTGATGAAAGAGTGCAATGAAGCTGAATGCAAACCTCCAGCCCTGCCTGCACAGGAGGCACGGCTCACCAGACACAGCTGCGTTCCCCCATCAGTGGCAAAACAGACTTGGGTTGTGGATGCCAGAACATCGGTCACATCACTTCCTTGCAACAAGCAGTTTAACACGTGGTGTAATTAAGAACAACCCAAATCGAGAAAGCAGCAGGATTTAACCATGCACAGGGATGTGTAAGTTGCTTTGTACTTAAGTTGTCTCTACTCCTACTCCAGCATCTGGATCTTTTCTATCATTTTCTCCTGGTGAAACCAATCCATCACTCCACTTGTGTTTTACATCCACAGCTCTGAAAATACCACCTGAAATGTGAGGGGCATCTCAGACACCTCACTCCATTGAGTTATTTTCAGTTTAGGTATCTCATATCCAACACTGCTCTCCCAAAAAGCCTTTTCAGCACTTAGGAATGTATGTTCTGTGGTTCTCATTCACGTCCCCAAATCTAAACCTCTGCTACAGAAAACGAGCTGAAGCCCAAACTGTACAGTTCAAACGATTCCATTCATTGGTTGGGTTTGATCCAAAGCAACCACAAGTTCAAAAGACTGGCTCCATCAGTGTTGGTGGCCATAGAGCAGAGCAGGGGCTGCCAGAGCTGTAAGAAAAGCCTCTTGGCCATTTCCCTCTGGCCTGCTTTTCAGAGAGCTACTTGTCACCTTCCCACCTTCCTTCACTTACTCATCACCTAAGTCACTCTTTGGTGTGTTATTCCACAGGCAAAGAGCTTTCTGACCTCCAAACCCTACGGTCCTAAGGGGTTGTGTTTCCTAATGACCATGTGCTAAGAGCCATCACTGTGAGGCTCCCAAAAGCTGTTCTTTAGCCTTGAGCTTCCCCCATCCTTTCAGCCAGCACTAACAAAAGTGGACCCTGGTGTTTGTGACATGGAAGATCAGCAGGAGCTCAGTTTTAGGTGGTCCACATCTGAGCTAACTTCAGCCCATCCCCTGTACGCAAAAGATTCATGATGAAGAAGGTTCTTTTCTCCTTTTTGTTTTAACCATTTATGGAGCTGTTGGAGCAAGTCCAGAGGGGGCCATGAGGATGCTCAGGGGCTGGAGCAGCTCCCCTGTGGAGCCAGGCTGAGAACATTGGGGCTGTTCAGCCTGAAGAAGAGAAGCTGCGTGGAGACCTCAGAGCAGCTTCCAGGGTCTGAAGGGGGCTACAAGGATGCTGGAGAGGGGCTCTGCATCAGGGACTGTAGTGATAGGACAAGGGGTGATGGGATCAAACTGAAACAGGGGAAGTTCAGGTTGGAGATAAGGCAGAAGCTCTTCCCTGTGAGGGTGCTGAGGCGCTGGCACAGGGTGCCCAGAGAAGCTGTGGCTGCCCCATCCCTGGCAGTGTTCAAGGCCAGGTTGGACACAGGGGCTTGGAGCAAGCTGCTCCAGTGGAAGGGGTCCCTGCCCGTGGCAGGGGTTGGAGCTGGAGGAGCTTTAAGGTCCCTTCCAACCCAAAGCATTCTGTGATTCTCTGCTTTATCCCATGGAACACACTAAATGTGCATCACACGTTTCTTTTCTAACCCTGTTCTAATTCCAAGCTTTAAAAAAGATAGAAAAGTTGCAGGTTACGATGGGGAATTCAGACACAGGTAAAACCTTCTCATTTCAATTTGATCCTGGCCATTTTTAGTCTAATCCCAGATATTTCTAGAATATTCCCTTCATCTTGCAACCTTCTTTTGCTTTATAGTCCTTTAAACATCTCAGGGTTTCACTATATGAACTCCCACGATGGAATTAGAAATCTCTTATGAAACGCACAGAAAAGCTTAAAAAAGAAATCTGTCAGAATACAAACAATGCACAAAACCATGATTTTTGTTCTTCCTGCATTAGTAAGAACAGAGCAAGCACTTAAAATGAGAGCATTAAAGATTCTTTGCCATTTGTATCCCTTCTTCTTGCTCAGTTGTGACAACGCCGAAGATATTCTACGCTTTCATTGCTGTGCATACTATGAGCAGGCTCCAAGCAAATCACTGTGCAGCCGTGTGCTGCTGTGTTTGTTACTGGCACTGCAGGGGCACATCCCCAGTTCATGTCTGCTCTAACTTTATTTCTATCGTTTGGTTTGATTTAGAAATAAAATAAATATCTTTAGCAAACAATTTGTCTTTGATTCAAGGATGGCTCCTAAGGATGGAAAAAGTGGTACACGGGCCTATCTGAGAAAACAAAACCCCTTTGTTTTCTGCAGGTCCAGTTTTGGAGAGGTTTTCTTATGGGCACTTCTATGAAAAAAGAAGCCAATGAAGACACACATTTGTGGTTCGTATTTGAGGTGGTTTTATCTGAGACTAAAAGGACCAGGTTCTGAAGTCCTGGCTCAGTCTGGCTCCTTAAGAGGGAGCCTGGCAGTGCTCAAGGCCAGGTTGGACACAGGCGCTTGGAGCAAGCTGTTCTAGTGGAAGGTGTCCCTGCCCGTGGCAGGGGTTGGAGTTGGATGAGTTTTAAGGTCCCTTCAATCCAAACCAGGCTGGGATTCTATGATTCTCTGACCCTGGGCCACCCGCTGTGGCTGCCGAGCATCCTGAGCTCAGCGATGGGGAGAAGTGTTTTCCCCCCAGTCTTCTGCAATTAAAGTTCCATCAAAACCTATGTATTTTCTAGAGGAGTCTCTTTCCTAGACCAAATGCCTGTCAGCTCTGCTCCCGAGCCACCCACGTACATGAGCACAAGCTCTAGCATCACCTGCCATTCCCCAAGCAAGGAGATTCACCTTTCATGAGCCCATTACATTCCTCCTCCAGCCAAGGGACAATTATCCTCTTTAACAGTTTTCCTAGTTGGAACTGGATGATCTTAAGGTCCTTTCCAACCCTAACTATTCTATGATTCTCCTTTTCCACTTAAATGCTATTTGGGGGTAAGCTCTTGTCCTCAGCACTACTTAAGAACCATTCAGAAGACCAATAGTTTGATGGGGGTTTATTTTGGTGTTTTGGGGTCTTTTCTTTTATAGGAAGTGAGGAAAAAACACCTTTTTCCCTTTCCTCCTATGAGTGCCATGGCTATGGAGGAGCTGCAGGGCCTCAGGCCGGTGACAGCATCCAACAGCTTCCCTCTGTGCCGAGCTTGAGGCACTCGAGCACAAAAATTGCTGTCATTTCTCTCACATTTCTTTGCATCATCTCCAAGCTCATAATTGGCAAAGAAATAATCCTCTGACCCAGCGACTCCAGAGCCCACTTGTGAGCAGAGCCCTTTCAGCAAGACTAATAGATCGACACGATTTCATTAGAACCATCATGTGTCACTGGGGTATTAACATTAGCTTAAGCTTCCAAATTCGGTATTTCAAGTGCACTTAAATAACCTTCTCGGAGAGTTTTTGAAGCTAAATTAAGCCATCAAGTGTGGCTCCACTTCACAATCGCTGTGGTTAAACAGCATTATGTAAAAAGCACACCCCTCTTGACTGAGATACCTTTCGTTTTCCTTGTTGCGCTTGAAACAAAGATTCCTGGCACGAGCCATCTGCTGACAGGCACAAAATAAACCAGGATCTCACCAATGTTCACGTGTGCAAACTGTGACATTTCAAACGAGGGAGAGAACACTGCAAGGATGGGGCCTACAAGGATGCTGGGGAGGGACTCTTCATCGGGGTCTAGTGTGATGCATCCCTGCCCATGGCAGGGGGTTGGAACTGGATGATCTTAAGGTCCTTTCCAACCCAGACCATTCTATGATGCTATGATTCTATGAACACTGAATGAAAAACTCTGCAACCTGAAGACTAAGAGCAATCCAGTCACACCAACAGCACATTAGCATCATCTCACAACTTCCTCAGCTGGTAGCTTTTGTCAAGCTCACATTTTGCTTTCAGCTTTGACAAATTGGGTTTTTATGTGTGATCCTGACAATATCTTGTGTTGGCCACACAAGTGTTTGGAACAGGTAATGCTCTGCCTGGGTTTTGTCTTGGTTCCTTAACATAAAGAGATGGAAATCGAACCACCCCAGAGAGCAGAAAACCTTCAGGCACAGCACATGCAAAGGAACACGTGAAAAGAGCTGCAGGCTCACTGGGGCCATTCCACACACTGTGGCTGGGAGTTGGATGCTCAGGAAGCAGTTTATTTGCCTTGGGATTTGCCTTGTGCCAAACTATGAACCATGACCTGGGAAGAGACATATTAGGTTCTTTAATCTTCGAGACAAAGGTGGGGAAGATCTGATCAGAGGCTGGATCAGGCCCCAACACCATCCTGTACAGCCTGTGGTCAGATGAAATCTCTTTTCTATCTTCACTTTCTTTCCTCTATCCTTTTCCTGCTCCTTTTCAAACCTCCTTCAACAGCACACCATGACCCACTGCATCCTGCTCTGCACTGGGATGAACAAGAACTCTGCAGAGCAGCATTATCCTTGGCCAAATCTGCTGACAGGAGGCCTGGCTTGGAGCTCAATGTCAGCTTAAGAGAATCAGCCCATTGAGTTTAATGTTCCTTTTATTTCCTCGGGGTGAAAAGGGCAGGGGTTTTTGCAGGCCCTACGAATGACAACAGCTACGCCCCCAAATGCAAAGCAAAGAGAAATCTGATAGAATAAAGGAGCATCACCTTGTACGCTGTGATTTCTCAGTGCAGAACATGCTTGAGCCTAACCAAAGCACAATGAAGTCAAGGCAAACCCAGTGACTTCAACGGGACTTGAATTAGACCCTTCGAATCTCACACAAGCATGTGCTCACTGGTAAGCATTACTGCAGGGGAGCCATAAACCACGATGCAGAGGACCAGCAGAATAGTGGGAACTTCACACAAAGCAGAGGAATCGTTGGCGTAGTGAGAAGAGAGAGGTCTAGCAAATGGATTTAGCAGAGCATTGTAACAGTAACGGTCTTTCTGAGGCACAGTAAGAGGCAATAAAGGCATTCACAGGAGTAGGCTTTTGGTAGGAGCTATCTAAGGGATATCTGTGCTGATCCCCACTGAGTTATTGCTGTAGAATTACAAGTGATTTTCCAGCCATCTTTCAATTCCAGTGAAAAGAAAGAACTTCCTCAAATGTGCTTATTTAATGGCCAGCAATTTCCATTGCCAGGCAGATGAAATCAACAACCACAGGGTAGAGGCAGTTACCAGAACCCAGAGCATCTCACCAACAAACATGAACATCACAGCACTTGGGGCAGGTTCTCAGTTCTTGGGTATGGGCAGCGCAGCTGCATCACAGGCTGCTTGCTCTGAGTGGCTCGTTGCCCCTGAATATACCAAAGAGCTACAAATAATGCTCCTACCAAAGCAGGGAAAAGGTTGTAAATTCTGATTGTAACTTACATGGCTGTTGAGCAAACTGCTTTTGTGTGATGTAATCCCTTCATTTTTTTGTAGGTTTTCAATCGCCATTTCAAGCTAAAGAAAATGTGCACAGGGAAAAAAAAAACATAGGGAAAAAAAAGAAAAAGAAAGGAAATCAGATAGTTAGCAACAGCCAGATTATTATCTCTTTATTAATACTTGAATGATTAATGCTTTATATCAACAGGCTTGTGAAAAAGAGGCAGATGAGGCACAGTCTTTATGGGATGAAGCTGCAGAGACATTCCTGTACGGCATGCAACCAGCAAGGACCCCTATGAGGGTGAAGGAGCAGACCAGGGGGGCTGATCTCCCACTACTGCCCACTTATAAAAGAGCAGGCGTTTTCCTTCTCCTTTCCCCTTCATGCCTAGACCAAAACCTCACCAGGCAGATAATGCTGCAGCAGGTCAGTGGGGATGTGCTATGGAGAAGGTGCATTTTAGCCGGCCCTTCCAAGGAGAACTGGAAGCAATGACTTCAGTTATTACTTCTTAATATTCTGACAAAAAACTAATGGCACCTAACTGAGGTAGGGGCACAAGGGGTGTTGACCACAGAATGGGATGCATTAAAGCTCTTTTTGCTGCTGAAGAGAACTGCAAAGGGACTCTGGAGGAAGAAGACAGATTTCCTCTTCCAATGAAGACCGGCTGGCGCATCTTGGTGCTACTTGTGCTCGTGTCCATTACCTCAGAGCTTCACCAAGCAGAGCCCTGGTGGGGCACTCTGGCTCCTGAAGAGTCCCTGAGTCTCCTTGTTGCCTTTGCCTGGCTTCTCTTCTATGCTCAGCCTGGCCTTGGCTGCTGCCTTTGGGCCCAAAGCCTCTCCTGGACCCTTCTTGTCTTCTCCTTTCTGCTGGTGGGACTCTGGTCCCAATCTCTATCAATCTCTAGCCAACGAGATTGAGGTCCCAGAGCTCCAGTGCTGCTGAGCACAAGCTTTTTGCAGGTAAGGAAGGAAAGAAAAAAACCCAAACCAATAAAAAAAAACCCACAGAAGGGACTGCCTGCTCCTGCCAGGAAATGTTCTCAACCCCCTGTTATCTGTGATCTGTTAGTGCAGGCAGGACAATGCAACCCATCCACCAGTACAGCTTGCAGTCAGCAGCTATCTCTAGTCCTCATTTAACATGCATTCTTCTGTAGGCACAAAGCATCTCCACAATGGCCTGCCTCACGTAGTAGCCAGGTCCTGCACCCCCTTTGCACTAATTCATAGCAGGGTGAAGATAAAGGTTGAGCTAAAACCAGCCATTTACAAACCCAAGCTCTGTCAGAAAGGTGGGAGGACACAACAAACCACATCTCACTTCTGAAGAACACCCAAGCATTCCAACAAAACCCCATTCGACACCCAAAGACACAGTCTGGGCCATATCCACCTCTGAACGTGATCCTCTGCTCAAACACTTCCAGCACAGCTTCCTTGGTTTCCATCCAAAAGAGCCACCATTGTAGCACTTCTCAAGCAGTTATCATTGAGTTTAGTCTAAGACTATGTTTCAGTGGGTTGCCCATCACACCCTGGTGTACCGTGAGGAACCAAGGCCTGATTGCTGATGCAGCCTTCAGGAAATGAGTCAGTGTTAGAGGGAAACACCATTTCCTTCCTCTGTTCACAGCATGCTGCCAGTTGAGCAACACCTCTTACGCAAGCACAGCGATGCTGCCCGTCCTCTTGGCACTTCAGTAAGTGCCCCATAAGAATGGGCACTTTGCATCTGCAAGAAGCAATATTACAGGGGAAAGACTAAAAAGCTCTTAAACAGCCCTGCACGAAGGTGAGGAGCTTCGAGGACCCACTTATGGGAGGTCTGGAAGATGCTAAAGCCTAATTTAAATGAAGATTAACAGTGCCCTGTTGGCAAAGCCTGAATGGAACTGTTTCATGTGCTGTTTCAGCCCATTGAATGGAGCAGGACATCATTATTCCAGCAGATATGGAAGCCCTCTCGCTTCCCCATTCCTTGCAGCTGCCTCTCAAATAGCTAAGCCCTCACATTGCTGCCCACTTTGATATCCATCCCCTTTGCACTACACCCCAGGCCACATGCAAACAGTACATGCTACAGCTGCAGGAGCCAAGCACATTTGCTTTCTCTCCACAAAGCTCTTAATCCTGCCCAAAGTACATGTTTCCAGGACTGCAGCCTCCCCATCCTCTTTAACACCAGCCTTTCCTACCCTCTGGTTAAGCAAGACACTGCAATGAAAACTACTGCTCCTCCCCACTGATTTGGTGCAGTCATTGCTCTCCTTAAGCCTCCCACTGTCTCTCCTGCCATTAGGATGTGAAATTCAAAGCAGTTATCACGGCTCTGCTCTGTTCCCCTCCGACTCAGGTCTGTGCTGGAGGAACTGAAAGCCTCCCACAGACACATCCCCGGTTGGCTTCCATGCCCTATTTGAGCCCCTCCACAAGACCCAAAGCCATTCCGTGTTACAATTCCTTCAGAAAGCCCATTCCCACCTGCAGCCGAGTGGATTTATTCATAAAGGTCACTTCCTGAATGCTTTTGTTTTGAGGAACAGCTTTACCTGGTGCGATAGCTCCAACCTACAGCTGTTGATGGGGCACTTCTACTGGTTCATTCCGCTGGGGCTCTTTCCATTGTGCCCATCACCATGGGAATGAAAGATGATGACAAAAGACAAAACCCCCAAACCCAAAAGCCCCAAAGCCACGCGTGGTGCTGTGCAGCTCTGAGATCAGCACCTCCCAGCTCCCTTGAGCAGTAAATCCAGGGCTAGTTTTTAACTCTGACCAGTTAAAATACACACAGACACAACACTCACACAAGAAATAAGCCCCAGCTAACCCCGAGCTGGCATTTTCTCTTCCACCCAAAGCTACGGACGTTACCCCTACTCCTCCCTAAGGCAGAGCACAGTTCTCCAGCATCAAAGACAACCTTTCAAAGCACAAAGACTCAAACCCCATGTGGTCTCTATGAAAACTCAGTAGGAGGAGGAAGCACAACCAGATTTTCAGGAGAGCTCAGTAGCAACCAGCTCCTGCTTCTCTCCCTGGGTGGTGCTGTTCACGTTTTAAAGCCTGAATTACACCCCCGTTTGTGATTCTGTTTGCATTCACGTGTAGAAACACACAGAGCTCAGGAAGGGAGGGTGAGCACTGGTCCAGGAATGAGCTCCAGCCCTTCCTGGCAGATCCCAGGTAAAAGCCCTGGTAGGTTCTAGGTGCAGAAAGGCTGGTTTGGGTTACTAATTGCATCCCCCTGAGTCCCACGCAGCTGCGCAGATGTGCTTCCAGCATCCTGGCACCTCGACTGACACCATTAAAGCAAATGAGAGCTTTAAAACATTTCTGTTTGATCAGGATTATCCCTAAAATACATTTTCTGCAACGTGGCATGGGCAGAATACACAATGGTGTAGGAGATACATACAAAGACTTTTTGATCACTGTGCTTTTGGCATGATCAGCTCGACACCCCTTTCATGCTAGTTATCCACTGTGATAATAATGGATTATTCAGGTCTTTTCTTAATTAAAACCATCTATTTCTTTGTTTTGGGTCAGCCAAGCCCCACGTTTGGTTGTTATTAGAAAATGCTAATACAGACAATTCCTTGGAATTGGAAAGCCAAAACATTTTGCTTGGATGTAGAAAGGGGGAAACACAGAATCCCCAGGAATTTATCCTTACCTCCATGCTGCATCATTTCAGTGATCCACGGGGAATTTGCCAAGCCTCTGCCCACCACCACAAGAGACATTGCAAGCTCCCCTTGCTTGTGGTACACCAGTGTCTATTCGCCCCCTTGCATTTGCATGGCATGTTACACAGACATATACACAGTGCTAACTACCAAGTGGAAGTTTTACTCTCTGAAGGCTTTTCACTTCCCTTGGACTAATTCCTGGCCCCTGAGCTGCAATATCTGCAGGGCTACATACCGTTGCTGGAGAGGAGCGTGAAGTATGTGACAGAGAATGTCTAGTGTTTTCCATCCCCCCATGAATGAGATAGGCTCCCGAGCCGGAGAGGATCTGACTTCCCCCAATGTCCATGGTGATGCCCACCATGTTGTGAGAGGGAATGGCTGTAGGAGAGGAGGATGCCGCTGTAGTCACCTGAGCTCCACCTCCCTGCGGTTCGAAGTAGGATGCTGCGCTGCTGGGGGCGTAAATCTGAGCTTCCGTGTTGTAGGAGTAGGCAGCTCGTCTGTCAAAGGAACAATAGGGTCAGGAGGTGGCGAGGAGCTCCTCCATCTAACCTCATGGACAGCAGCTTCTGAAATCGGGAACACCTTTGGAGGAAGGATGGATTTGCTCCGTTGAATGTGAAACCTGGGCTGGAGGAGTCGGTCCTGGCAATGGTGATCAGTCCTCTGGCTGCCCTGGAGCAAAGGCCCGTGGCAACAGTGAGAGCAGAGCCCAGGAGTAGCTCTGCAGCCAGTGTAGGTAACGTCAGTGAGGAAGGCTGAGAGCATCCCCAAGGACAGTAGGAGGAAGAGGAAACCTTACAAACCCCCCTTCTTTCCATAGCAGTTCTGCTCTGGTTCCTAAAGCCACCCTATATCATCACACAATGGGCTGGGCAGAGGAAAATACCTGACACTTCAATGTGGCAGGATTCCCTGGAATCCGATGAGAACACCTCTTCCAAGGCCAGAGTCTGCCTGAAACTACCCCTATGCATGTAACATGGCACGAGAAACAACTGTCCCTCCTCTTCCTCCTTTTACCGTGCCAGCAGTGGAAAGAGCCTGAGGGGACCAAAGGGCTCAACCCAGCTTTGAGGGGAACAGGGCTCTGCTACTGCCAACAAGGGACTCTTACATGGTTCCATTGGTATAAACAACTTCTCCTCCTTCCACATACTGGACCTGGGATGGATATACATGCTGCACGGCTTGCACCTGAAACGAGCATCAGAGACTTGAGTTAGGGATTGCCTGGGAACAGCGGGAGAAATTGCATATCACAGCCTTAAACAACCCTCTACCTTGAAAGTTATCAACTTTACCTTGACATTTAGGTTTTCCTTTTAAAAGAGAAGGAAAACCAAACAAAACCACACACACACAACCCCCCTTAAGAATCCCAAAGGACACATTTATTTTTAAAGGTCAAATTAAAATGAATAAATAAGTCCTTGCTCCATGAGCAGTGGAAACAATGGAGCAGGGTTTCCTCTGCACACACGTCTCAGGGCTGGTTCTTTGCTGACTAATAAGGGTGAGATCATGCTGCAGCCTTTCCTTCAGAGAAGAGCTTGCCGTGTCCATCTGGGAGGGACACAGTTGTCCTCAGTCAAGCTGGGGTTTCCTTAGCTGAAACTGAGCAACCAAAGACTTGCTAAAGGCTAAAGTCAAGAGAGTCCGACGCACTGCCCACATGAAGCAGCATCATACGTGCCTGGTTTCTTAGGAAACAAGGGCTGCAAAAGGCAGAGTTCAGATAAATAAGAACACTTGCATGGCTCTCTGTCACCTCACCTTGCTACGAAGCCACACGCAGTCAGTGCATTTATCTGTGGCATTAAAAAAGAATCCCAAACACTCTGCCTCTAAAAAAGTCTTTCCAGAGGAGGACTGCTTTTAAACAGCAATGAAAAGCATCCATCAAATCTTCAGATATACAGAAGACACCTGGGATGCTGAAGGCTCTTTCTAAACTTTAGGTATCTTGAGAGGCTCTTTTGCCATCAGTCTAAGAAAGGAAGAGAGATGGTGAAAGCTACTCTCATAGTGATCTCCAGGGCTCTCTCATCAAGAGCATGGACTTTCCTAAGCAACTATCTGGCGATGTTTAGACATCCTGTGGGTGACACAGGGGTGGTGCCTCACCCCAGAGGTATTATTACCTGTTGTGCAGCCTGATGGACTCTGGGAACAGAGATTTGCTGCATCTGCGCTCCTTTGGGAGCAGAGCCCGTGGCTTGGACCAAAACCCTCTGAAAGGAGAAGATAGAGCAACAGACACTTACTCTGGGTGTGTTACACAGGTAAGTTAGGTATTCCCTTTCAATCTCTCAAGGAAAGCTTGCCTCCTACTTCAGTAGCACTAGTCCCTTACTTGGCATCCCTGCGGTTCCCATCCTTCCGATGCAATCTGCACCAGACACCCCCCTGAACCCCACACCCCAAACTTGGGAAAAGCTGGATCCACATTTTCTGACATGGATCATCTTGTCTCCACATGAAGAAATAACACCACCCCAACATGAGGTTCAGCCACAGCTAAACAAGAACCACCCCTCACACACTCACATCCTCCTCCTATTGCAAAGTTTCTTCTCTTAGGGCTGCTGTTCTAGTACATAACTAGTATATATCAACTGTATCTCGTTGGAGCTGGATGATCTTAAGGTCCTTTCCAACCCTAACTATTCTGATTCTATTCCAAACCACCCTCTGCCTCCTGCAACAAGAAATCCCATTCTCCAAGCACAGCCCTTCCACGTTCTACCAGCACCAAAGCTCCCATGAAGCATCTCCATCTTCAGTGCCACCAAGAGCACAAAACTGCTTTGCCTTGCCTTGCGGTGGTCACTGTCCTCTACCTCTGCACTGTCATTTCCATCGTCCTCCTGCTCTCTGTGCTGGCATTCAGTTTGAGGTTGGACACACACTTCAGAGAGTGCTCAGCACCTTGCAGAGCCAACAAAACAAGCATGGGGATGTGGGGGATGGAAACGATTCAGTGGGGCCCAAAGCCAAGTATCAGTATGGTCTTTTAAACCAGTGAGGACCTTCCCCAAGGAGATAGTCATCTTCTGTGGGCTGAGGCTTTAACAATACCCAGCAGATTGGGCCAACAGAACAAAAAGCTGCCACATGAATCCTAAAGAGACCTTGACCGTTACTGGCTACCTTACACACATATGCTTCTGATTTTTAGCCCTCTAGCTGTAATTATTCACCCCCAACCTGTAAGATGAGGCCGTCCTGTTCGTACAGCCTTTGTTCGCACTGAAAGGTAGCCCAGTGATCAACACCACCAAAGGCTTCAGCCTCACACCAGTCTCGCTGCCAGCAGCTCATCCCTGGTGTTTTCTTTGTCCTGCTGGTGAGAAGGGAAGGCGCTGGATGCTTCTCCTCTTCAGCAATCTTCCATGATCCTCTGGGTCTTCCTTAATCCATGCAGTTCCACTCCATACTCCGTGTCACGACGACAGCACCGGCACAGGCTGGATGGGTAATTTCATAATCCAAAGCCAAGGGGCTTTCTAAACTTCTTTAACAAGTTGTCACAGTCAAATGACTGACAATGCCTCAAATACACTATTGCTCAGTGGTATCCGCATCATTCCAACGGGAACAAGAAACGCTGCCCAGAGCAATCCAGGGTGGGAGGTTTGAGAGGTGACAGCGAGCTGGGCAGTGAGGTGAATGTTCAGGTCTGCTGGGGAGATGCTCCTACCAGTTCCTAACTTCTAATTATTCCTTTCCATCAGCATCCAATGGCAGCTGCTTCTGTTCACTTGGGAGCTGGGAAGGGTGTAGCTAAGTTACACCCACCCATCCTCTTATCCCTCCGGTTTCCTGCGACAAAAACTTCTTGTGATAGTTCCCCAAAAGGCACAAAAAGGAACCAGTTTTACTTAACCCTTCCCATTTCCAACGAGGCAGATTCATTCATCAGCTGAAGCTATCATTTCTCTCCCATCAGACCTCCCAGGAGCATCATATTAATATATCAGAATCATGGACACCTCCTCCCCACCTACCAAACGAAGAGACCAGCATGTGGCTTCTCCACCCTCTCCCTGCCTTAGCACTTCCTTCACCTCTTTGTTGAGCTCAGTACCTCATTTGCAGAGATGCCTTTAAGGACTGTTTCGTTTTCTCCTGCTTTTATTGACACACCAGATAACAACAGGATCTTACACTAAAGCAAACACCAGACTGCATGAAGTGGCCTCCTCAGGTAGTCAAGATCTCAATCCCATGGTTTACAGCTTGCACGTTTGTAGGGCTAACACAGGAAATCTCTGGGGCCTTTAAAAGTCCAGCAACAGGTTCTCTCCACTACTTCAAGTTGCTGATTAACAAACCTAAAACCCCAGACTGGCATCCCTGCTACAGGCAAGGACACCTTCCACTAGACCAGGTTGCTCCAAGCCCCATCCAACCTATATAAACCCCCTGGATTAAAATACATCTGTGAGCAAACCCAGGCTCTTCCGCATGGAAACCCTAATCCCTGCTGTGCATCCCTTACCTGCTGCGACGATGGCACCAGCTGCACCACCGGAGCTTGGGCTGACGCTGAGGTGTGAAGTGCCACGGAAGCTGCTGAGTCTGATCCACCCTCGGAACTCTGCATGCTCACTGCTGGGGAGAGCAGAGGGGAGGTCAGGCAGGGAAAGCACAGCTACACCCCAGGAACCCGCGGCCCAACGGCACAAAATCCCACTGGAAGATGCAAGGGAAGTGCTAGGAAGGAAGGTGCTACCTTCCTACACAGAGGCCTCTTTTTAGTCTTGGAGCTAATTTGAATAGAGGATTCTATTGAGAAAAAAAGAAAGTTGCACAATTGTTCCACCGAAAGGAGAGGGAAGGAACAGAAAATGCATTTCTAAATATAACCAAAAAGTAGCGCTGGAAAATTAGTGTGTCACAGTGAGGACAGCTCCAGATCTGGAAGAGTAAAAGCACGCTTCTAAAATCAGTTTTATTCCTTCTCATCTTTAACTAACCCTGAATAAATATGTGCCTGGAGCTTAGCTGATGCTGTCAGAAAAGCAGGGTGGCCAGTTTGGGTTACAATAACCAAGAATCAAACATGAAGAGCATCTTTTTAACACCCCCAAATCACCCCCACAAAGAAACACCTCCCCGCTCCCACCCATTGCTCCAGAACCCCACCTGAGCCTCACTCAGGTCCCCACATCATCCTCCAGGCCTGCTCCCATACTGCAACCCTATGGAGGTGATGCCCTCAGCATCTTCAAGTTACCCAGCTCCCCCCATCCCGGCCAGCACTGCTCAGCCACCTTGGGAAGCATCCCAAGGGCCACATGGGAACATCCTGGGGATGGAGAGATGGCAGGAGGGCAGGGTTCTTTATCCCTTGGGACTCCTTGCTCCCACACGGCACTGCCCTGGCTCGCTGTGTCCATCGCCACCCAAGGGACACCAAACCTGCTGCTTCCCGAGTACAAACAGTGTCATATGGGGGGTTTTGATGTAATATGGAGGGGGGGACCTTTTATTTCTCAGTTGCTTGTGAAAGTTCCTGTTTAAAAAACTATTTTAAGAGCTTTCTTGCTGCCACTTCAAAACCAAACCCTTCAGAAACATCCCGATTTGGAGCAGCAGCATCTCTCCTCTCTCAGCCTCACTGCTGAGCATAATAGAGCCTCCAAATAACAGCAGGAAACCTTTTCCATTTTGTTTCCTTTCTGCATCCAATATTTAAACTTCTTCCTCGACTTTGTGCATGTTAAGAGGCAAAAGGGAAAATGAGAAAGGGAGGGATGCTGGCCTATCATCTGATAGCTCTTTGTGGTAAAAGGCAATGCAATGGGGAGGTAAAGGGCTCTGGTTCACAGCTTTTGAGGGTTTTGCAAGTGGAAGACTCTAACAAGGAGAGGTTAGAGAAGAAAGGTGAATTGCCCAATATATTTTAATGATCTGTTTGAGAATGGGTCTGGTGGGGTCAGATCTTGGCATTTCAAGTCCACAGAAAGCTCTCTTTTCAAGCGTACTTCTAATGCGAAAAGGATGCTCAGAAGAGATGCTGTCTCCAAATTACCGCCTGTTCCTCCCTGCTGATGAATTTCACCTTCTGGTTTCCCTCGGTGACCCAAGGAGGGGCAGGGTGGAAGCTGAACTGTCAGCTGCCAAAATAAATCACCAATGTACTACTCAGTTTTGTTACAAAACACAGGCTCTGCTACCGATGACAACCAAGCCAGACACAGGGACCGATGAAATCTGGTCCTTCCAGACAAGGTAGACAGACACAGAAGCACTGGGGCCACCAAGGCACATGTACAAGACTTCTTATGATCTTGTTTATCAGTGCAACATCCTGGATAAAGAATAATTCATTTCCCATTAAAGCCATCCTGTGCTTCCTGAGGACTGGAGAGACACACACTGCTAACGTTAATCCACAGTGATGAGAAGCTGACAACAGAAACAGAATTCCTATGCTCTGAGAAACCACTGCAAGGTGCTCCAGAGCTTTGCTGATGTCCCCGGAGCACAGCTCCTGAGTGAGCAGGCACAGGGCTCCAGAAGATGGATAAAACAGCAGCTTTCCAGGAGAGGGAATGTGGCATCCGAAGTCTTGCTCTTCCCTCTTCTTGGGTGCTATGTGTGCGGTGTAAGGAACACCCTTGTGGCTCCTGTATGGACATCGGCTGCTGGAGCTCGGCCATCTGCTTGAGCAGCTCTTTGGCAGTTCTGCCACATCCCTAAAGCAAATGCCCATGAAAGGCCCCGCTTCTCTGCTTCCATCTCATTTATCGCCTCCCACAGGGAAGGAAGTTTTACAGTGTTTCTGATCAGCCTCTCCTAACAGAGATGCAGATGAATCAGAGAAGATGCTGCAAGGGCTGGAGCAGCTCTGCTCTGGAGCCAGGCTGAGAGAGCTGGGCTGGGGCAGCCTGGAGAAGAGAAGGCTCCTGAAGGGGAGACCTGAGAGCAGCTCCAGTGCCTGAAGGGGCTGCAGGGAACCTGGAGAGGGGCTTGGGACAAGGGCCTGTAGGGACAGGCCAAGGGGAACGGCTTGAACCTGCCAGAGGGGAGACTGAGATGAGCTCTTAGGCAGAAGCTCTTCCCTGTGAGGGTGCTGAGGCGCTGGCACAGGGTGCCCAGAGAAGCTGTGGCTGCCCCATCCCTGGCAGTGTCCAAGGCCAGGTTGGACACAGGGGCTTGGAGCAAGCTGCTCCAGTGGAAGGTGTTGGGGTTGGAGCTGGATGAGCTTTAAGGTTCCTTCAACCCAAACCATTCCATGATTCCTTACTTAGCTCAAAAGCGAGCCCTCCTGTTTCCCAAAGATCTCAGATTTGCTGCCTTCCTCTTAGATCTGGTCTAAGAGAGAGAGGCTCACCCCAGCCATGCTTGCTTCCTCTGCCGCCTGGGGAAGGATGCTGTAGCTCTCTCACAGCAGGAGTGACCAACAGAAGCTATTAGAAGGTGTCTCGTGGCGTTTGGCAGCGGGTGAAAGCCTGGCAGCTTGGCAGCCCCTGCACTGGGGGGCTGGCACGAACTGAGAAGCTTATTAGTAGTCAAGAGAGCTGCTGGTGGGTCACAGAGAGGAGCAGCATCCCCATCCAGGGCTCCTTGCTGGGCTAAGAAGAGCAAAGAGACAAGTCAGTTGTTATGCCAGGGAAAAGAGCAGATGGGACCTGACCGTGCATCAGGAATGAAATCGCTCAAGACATCAGCGATTCAGGTAGAGACAAGTTCAAAACTCTGGTTGCTCAATGGGGCTGGTGATGCCAGGGGCAGCATCAGGACTGTGGAAGGCGCTGCAGAAATCTGGATTCCAGCTTGCATCATCCCTGAATGAATCAGGCAGATAACAAAGCTCCTGTTTACTCACAGCTATCTCGGTATCCAAGCAAACAGGAAAGAAAAGACAGAAAACAACTAAGAATTTCTGGGTGCTGTTTCTGGTTCTGCCACCGATTTGCTCCATGACCTTGAACAGATGCTTCCCCTTCCCCAGGCTTCAAGTTTCACACTCCTAAAAAAGCCACAATACTCCCCCAGGTAAGGGATTTGTTGAGCACTGGCCTCAAAGTCTGAATGCATTTGAGAAAGACAAGTAGTACTATCACTAGCCTTGGGGGCTGATAAAAACTCCACTTCTCACCGTTCCATTCATAAACCACATTGCCTTCATGTAAATGGCCTTGCCTTTGTTAATCTCCCCTGCCTAAACCAGCTGCCAAAGGCTGGGAAAGCAGAGATAAGAGGAGCAATTCGCAGCCAGAACGGGGAGGGAAAGAGGGGACAGCAGGAGAACAGCCCACAGCTTCCAAGTGCCGAGAAGGGAAAGCAGCAGCATCCTCTGCAGCGGTTCCCAAGGTCCCCAAAAGAGCTCAGGAGAGGAAGGAGCTGGAAGGGTGCTGGGGCTGTGCTGCCAAGAGATGAGGAACTGCAAGTGTTTTTCCAAGGAATGGTTTCATATAAACTACGAGCTCCTGAGCACTCAAACAAAACCATTTCAGAGCTAAATGCCAACACGCAAGCATCCAGTACCTGCTGCTGAGCAGAGCCAGAGCAGGAGCCTGCCACAGGGAGGTATTTGGGCTGCTTTCCTTTGGTGCTCTGGTCCATGCTCCATGGGACATATAAGGACCAGCAGCACCCCAGGCAGCCCTGAGCCTTCAAATAAAAGAGGGTTTAAGTCCTTGACTTCCTCAGGCCCAGGGTTGCTTCTGTTGGAACTGCAGCCCAGCTCCTCGGTGGTTTCATACTGGAAGATGTCACCAGCTGAAGTGAATACAATCCTCCCCTGCCTCACGTTTCTATTTGAGGAGCAGCCTCACAGAAAGCAGGGGTGGGACTGGCACAGTCTTGGCTCTCATGGGGTATTTAGGTCTCGTATTTATATCTCTTTCTTTTCTGAAGGCAGAAATGTAAAATGCATGAGCTAGCCTACACCAGCATCCAGACTGATCCTACATCCATACTAGTGCTGCTTTCGAAGCACCAACACTGTCACTGTTCCAGTGAATCACTTGCTTAGTTGAAGACGAGTATTTGAAGACCTATTTGAAGACAAGTATCATAAAGGATTATATTTAATTTGCTTTTCAAAGCTTACTTGGTCACCCTTGTCCAAAGCCCCTCTCCATGTTTCCTGTAGCCCCTTTAGGGCTACAAGACCTCAGGCTGCTCTGAGGTCTCCCTGGAGCCTTCTCTTCAGATACTGGGAGGCTGCTATGTAATACTGGAACAGAAGTGAGGGAAAGGAAAATATCTTTGATGAGTTTCTTGTTCAAGAACTATCAATTATTCTACTACATTATTTTTCTATAAAAAGGTGGGGAAAGTGTCTTTTTCCAGGTGAACTTGCTCTAATTACACTTGCTTGTTTTATTTCTGATGGGTTTGTTCACACAGGAAGCCCACGCCTAGTGCACTAGCTCTCCTGCTAAAAGGAGCTATCCTGAACTTTTAATCATCACCTGCACATGTTGTCAGCCGCATCCCATAGAAGGAATCCAAGATAAATCTGTCACGGGGACAGACAGAAGCTTCATTCCATGCAGACACAGGACTAAAAAGGGTGGATGCACCAGGGTTGCAGGAAACCTCAAGAGCTGGATGTTATTGCTAATGGCATTTTATAGGAAGCTTTACCCTGAATC